CCCGCTTGTCTCGTCACTCACCATGCACCCCAAGCGTCACTCCTCACGTCTTCCCCGCTTGTCTCGTCACTCACCATGCACCCCAAGCGTCACTCCTCACGTCTTCCCCGCTTGTCTCGTCACTCACCATGCACCCCGAGGGTCACTCTTCACATCTTCTGGGACCTTCTGAAGATGCTGTGGCCAAATGCCTGAAATGTATTTTTTTCCTGTTGTTTTTGTATTCTTATCTGCCCTGGCTGAACAGCATTGCTGGGTGGGCTGCTTTTCATGTATCGTGTGTCATCGTTTTGAGTTTTACTGAATACCCCCCCCCCTGTTGTGTCTGTCTTTCAGGAGTCTGTGGCTGCTGCGGCCCTCTGAGGCCTCGCTACAAGCGCCTTGTGGACAACATTTTCCCCGAGGACCCCAAGGTGACAGCGTCTTGTTGCTATGGGCGGGTGCCGGCGTTCAGTCAAGACCCCCAAATGTCAGGTTATCCTTCCGCTTACACCCCTGATCTAATCACATATTTAAAATTAAGTTATTGAATTGCGAGGTCGTTTTCATTAATCGCCAAATTCTCGCTTAATGCAATTTGGTTTATGACCTTAATCATAAACCAATGTTGTTATAGATTCTAATTATCAGCCTCTAAGAGTGACCTTTATTGCTGTGTCGGCCCTTTCATCCAAATAAAATGATATTGCTTCATTTTTAAGGTTTTAATTTTATACATAATTTTTACAGTCCTGTACAGCTGGTAATGACCGTAAATATCATGACCCTAAGTGAGGAAGAATGTGATGAGGTAAAGGGTAATTACGGAGGAAAGGATATTCTCAGCGTTACAGGAGCCTGGTCTGGCCTTGCAGTCACTCCTTAAGGTTTCTTCACACAAGTAAGGAGAAGTTGATGGATTTAGTTAATCCTGTTTCACACAAAACATAAACTTCATTTAAAATGGGTAGAGAAGGATTCCATGTGATTTGTCCAGCCTTTCTAAGACATTCAGAACTTGAGGATTTTGCTCGATCCTGTTCCCCCGCCATTTGTTGGGTTCGACGTCGACTCGTTCTTTCCCTTATATTCCTGTACATGTTAACCCGTCCTGTTAATTTCCACGCTCCAATGTGCTGGTAACCCTGTAAACGAGAAACTCATTAACTTGCTTATTAACTCTTGATCCCGTTAATTAAAATGCAGGTAACCACTTCGCATAGATTCAGTGTTTATCGCCGCATACTTTTACATACAAGAAATTTACTTCGGGGTGTCGTGCAATCAAGCACAATCAAGAAAATCAGCATAATACGTTTATATATATATATATATATATTATAATTTAATATATAAGTAAAACAATGTGCATATTGCAGATAAATCATAACATAAGGGGTCATTATTTGCCCTTGTTGCCCCGCTTGAGAGCTGTAATGTTAAAGCGGGCGGCCTAATTATGGGCTTTCCGATGCTGAAAGTGACTAACGCTCTTTCCCGGGGAGATTCTGACGGAACCCCTTCTACCCTGGAGTCAGCCCCAAGGAACTGCCCGGTTCTGATTTCAGTTTCCATATATCTTGTGCTACAATATGCTGTAGTAATAATAGTATATAATGAAAATGAATCATAGGTGAAATAAGGCTTCTGAACCTGTAGTGGGTGGAGTTACTCTCCCATCTGTCAGAGCATAACCAATGGGATGCTTATATTCAGTGATTGACAGCTTGCAGTCAGATTGGTGGCATACAGTAATCCCTAACCCTGTTGCTCTCAAAATGTCCTTTGTTGTTGCTTCCTCAAGGTAGTCTAGCCGACTAAGTGCTGGTATTCAGTTGGAGCAGTTCTGTTCAAGGGCTTTTTGCAGAGAATTCAAGGCCACTGCAAAGAGCAGGTTGTCTCCTTTCTACACGTGAATAACTGAGATGCTGATTGGCTAGGAAAGCCTTTATATAAATAGCTTAGCATTGCTCAGATTTCACAATTGGAAGTCTGGGGGTGTTATGTTATTTGGATGGGACGCTTTGGTTTCCTCATCCCATTATCATCCCCCCCCCCTCCCTTTAGTTGGCCTTTTAACCAGCAGTGTGTCCTCGTGTTTGCCGCTTAGGATGGCCTGGTCAAGTCAGACATGGAGAAGCTGACGTTCTACGCCGTGTCTGCCCCGGAGAAGCTGGACCGCATTGGGGCTTACCTGGCCGAGAGACTGACCCGGGATGTCTTGCGACACCGCTACGGGTAAGAGTGTACCACGTCATTGTTTGCACAAACACTCTTTGCGTGTGTATGTATGTGTGTGTGTTTGCGTCAGCTTAGGGAATATTAATTTTTCCAAAAATCAACTTAAAATAAAGGGAGTAATCCGTCAGAGTCCGCCTTCAGCAAGGCTTTCACGGAAGGTAAAGGTTAGTACCAGGAAAAATGTCACTCACTGCCCCCCCTTGGAGTAAAACCTGTGATATGATTGATTTGCAACTGTACGATTAAAAAGAGGGAAAACGAGTTGGGGATTTTCATATATAAAAAAACAAACTGTCCCCTGGGTCATCTCGTTATGCAAGGCTGTAAACCCCTCTGTGAAGATGGCGCGGTTAAGGGGAAGGATACCGGCATGTGCCTGTTGCTAAGAAACCGCGGAGCGCCGTACGAAGCGGCTTGGGGAAAGGCGCGCGACTCCGTGAAACGTCGTACGAAGCGGCTTGGTGAAAGGCGCGCGACTCCGTGAAACGCCGTACGAAGCGGCTTGGGGAACGGCGCGCGACTCCGTGAAACGCTGTATGAAGCGGCTTGGGGAAAGGCGCGCAACTCCGTGAAACGCCGTACGAAGCGGCTTGGGGAGTCTTGTATTTTTGGTTGGTGTTGGTTAATTATGTTTAAGGTTAGGGCTGGGTATGGGTTAGGGTTGTCATTGTCAGGATTTTGCTGTTGTCCATCGCACAGTAGGATAAAAGTGCGTGCGTGCGTATAGATGGATTTACGGCACTCATGTGGATCCCTTTAAATCCGCGACAGGAGAAACGTATACAGTTATTTATTTAAAGGACCCTTTTTTCCAAAGCGACATACCAGTGAGGACAAGCTGCATATTACAGGCATACAGCTGTCAAGCAGCCAGCTTGTCTATAGCAGCCTGTAGTGAGCGACTGGTAGCAGGCGTAAGATTGTTATGGAGTAAGAGCTGTAGAAACGCCACAGAGCGCAGGATCTGGAAAATCTGGGGCAGTGGAGCTTAGAGGCATGATCTCGACAATGATGCCACGTTAATTGGGTTTCTAAACACCGAGGTTGGGTTGGAACTGCATGGGTAGATGGTTCTGTAGACCTTTACACTGCAGGGAGCCGTCCACCGGCTCCCCCTCCCTCTGAGCGTCTCTGTTCACTATTCATGTGCTCAGCAGTGCCTTCAGGACGGCAATTAATATACTGCAGGAGCTAAATATAGAACCCTTCCCCACCTTCCAGAGTTTGTGCTCTACAACAGAATCAATCAAACGTGATGTGTTTATGAGGCATAAACATACAAATGTTCCAGAAACTGATGTGCATCAGGCAGGCAAATGGCTGCAGTTGTATAATTCCATCCTGCAGGGGGCGCTGATGTTCACAGCCAGGCCCTGTGCCATTAATTTGACGGGTCGTTGATCCGGGTGGGTGAAACGCAGGGTTGAGCCATGAGCCTTGTCTCTGGCTTGCAGTTACGTCGTCATCGCCATGGAGGCCCTGGACCAGCTGCTGATGGCGTGCCACTCGCAGAGCATCAAGCCCTTCGTGGAGAGCTTCCTGCACATGGTGGCCAAGCTGCTGGAATCCCAGGAGCCAGACCTGCAGGTCCTTGGGACCAACTCGGTAAGCGGCCTGGCGGCCAAGGGCCTGGGGCTCAGTCCCATTGTCCCGGCTGCCTTCTGTTGATTCTTTCTTTACCTTTTTCCCCCCAGAGCTCCGTTCTCTTTGAACATATATTAGATCTTTTCTCCATCCTTCACGCTGATCACTTTAATTACACGTCACTCTTCTCTGCCCATCTTCCCTATAAATTTTTTGTTTTCTGTTATGAATTTGCTTTACCTGTAAGACTGAATGATTTACTAATCTATCAGAAGGCTCTACTTGTAATTTTTTTTCTTTCTAATATGGATTTCATTAATGCTTTTCCTCTGCTATGTTTTGTTTTCTTGGAGGAGTGATTGCAGCCTGCCCTAGAGTCGGGAAGGCTTTTTTTTTTTTTTTCCCTTCCTCCATTTTCTCAGATTAACTTTTTTTGGTCTGGCTGTCTGTTCCCTTTGCAAAGTATTTCTCTGAAACCATTTGGGGGGGCGGGGGGGAAACTCCTTGAACTCCAAAAGAAAAAAAAAATGAAATCTGCATCTAATAGCAGATTTGCCACGATTGGATTTTTAGTCTGGCTGTGATGTGAGCTGATGAGTTTAGGGCAAATGTAACGTTAGAGGAGAGAGTAAAGGATGGGGGGAGAGAGATTCTGATAGGGAAAGAGGCAGAACCAGAGAAAGGGGCAGAGATCATCATCATCTAGGTCACACTGCCTCCGACAAGGACATTGCTAATTTGGAGAGTCGTGTGAGATGCCGGGCATTACGGACCGTTCTGGGAGCTTGGGATCGGGCGGCCATACTTTGTGAGAGGCACGTAGCTGCTTCAGAGGGATAAAGGAAACCCGGAGTGCTCAGCCGGACGCAGGATGCCGCTCCGGAGCCGGGAGAATTCACACGGCTGCATGGAACCGGCCCCAGGTGGTCTGGGAGACATTTAACTGATGACTGGCCAATCAGAAGCGGAGAAACGACGACATGGCTGCCCTGTTCTATGCATTGAAAGGGTTGCTTTGTAAGATGCAAAGGCCTTATTTTTAAATCTTTACATGCATTTGAAATATGTTAAATTTTTAGTGTGTGTCTGAAAGGTATTACTATTTTATTTGGGAGATGAGTTGAACGGATGGGTTTTGGGCATGTGGGAATTACTGCTCACAAGCACTGTTAAAGCTATATATTCGAGGCCCATGGTGATGTAGCTACTGGGAATGTAGTCCTGAGAATGATTCCCTTATTGCACTGACAGGACCTCACATGATGGTTATTTTTAAGTTCCTCGGCTGGGCTCTCGCGGGGATCCTCGCTGGCTCGCAGAGCAGAGCGGTGATGCCCGTGGCATTTTTACCCCTTAGGTGAGATGCTTGGGGTCGGTTTTCAGAGGGGAGCGGGGCAGGGTTCTCCTCACAGACAGACCATGTGTTTAACCTACGGCTGATTTTGCGCAGCTTGCAATGCATCCAAGCAGCACTTCCTGTCGCGTAACGATTTTTGCGCGTCTCCGTTTAGATTTTGATGGAGGTTAATTGCGTTTGCTTGTCGGCTTGTCTTAAAACGAGTTGGGAAATGAGATGAGCTTGAACAGAAAGCACCTAATCAGCTGTAATCGCCTTATATGGACCTCCTGGAAGTGATCCGTCCATGAGTATAAAACTGATGATGATTTTATTCCCAGCGTTCTTCGAAGTTTTAAGTCTTCCACGGCCAGGCTTCGTGTGCACAGTACCTCGATGTCAGTGTCATAACATGCCATGTGACTCGAGAGCTTCGAGACACAGGATGACCCACCTGGGATTATTTGGCGTGGTCCCCCTCCCTGCTTTTGGCTGATACCAAAACTGAGACGATAGCTGAGCTTTCCATGGTCTGATCCTTCTCTCCCGTGGCCTTGGAGCTGTCACCATAGTCGAGCAAGGCAGCGGAAGAGGGGGTGGGAGGGGCTGTTTGGATGCCAGCGAACATCCATTATTTATATTTGGTATTTGGAGGTGGGGGCAGTGGCGGGCAGGTGGGGGCAGGGCGCCCTAAGGTTAGTGTCATATTAATTTAATATCCCTCTAAATATGGAAGGTAGGCTGTTCAGGAAGCTGGCTGCTCTACAGGTCTTATTGGGTCTAAGGTGTATTTTTTATTTTTTTTTGTAAACCCTAGAGTGACATTTCCCATGATGCATCAGTACAACAGCTACCACATCTGTACCAATAAAGCGTGTTTTCACCATTTCCGGTCGCGTGCTGAGAGCTTGTAATGTTGAGTCAAATGTTCTTGTGTTGGGCCTGGTATTTGTAGGATGCTGTTAGCTGACTAACTGGCATCTTGTACCCCAGTCTTTTGCCATGTACTGCTTGGCATAGGCTCCTGCCCCCCCACCCCTCCGTTACCCGGACCAGGATAAGTGGCAGTAAGTGGTAGAGATGGGTGGCTCTAGGTGCAGCCGTTGTTTGGAATGGTGGGAAGCCACTTCCCAAACAGTTGGCGTTTCCTCCCTGCCTGCAGGGAGACAAGGTCCTCCTCCTTTGTATGTTGCAGGTTACGAACCTCACCCTTAACGATCCTCATTCAAAACTCTGCGTGCTCAGGAAGGAGGAACCCCACCAGTGGCATTCCTTGGTGTGGTGCTGGTAACGCAGTCCATCAGCCAATCAGCAGGGAAAGGTTTGAATGGAAAGCAAGAGCTGAAAGGTCAGGCGAGAGATGGATGATATGAATTTGAGGAAACCCGCATTTCAAAGTGGGGTTCCTCACATCTGAGGGGCCCTTTCAGAGCCAAAGGCTGAGATGTTCTCTGATGCCCAGCTCTATTACAGAAATCAAAGGATGGATGCACTCTGACGGATCTCAATTCACCTCTTGGCTTTGTCTGCATGGCACCACACAGCCAAAACATGGATTATGTGCTTAGTATTTATGCAATACTTCCAAATTGCACATTTCGATCAAGGTCGATTCTTCCCAAGGACAGGGTTTTTGATATCCTCATCTTTCTGCGTAACAGACTTCTGGGAAGACCAATCCCGCTATATCTCTAACTTGTGGAAAAGGTACAGAGTTCTGTCTCTTCTATTTTATAAAAACTGCCATTGGTTAGCATCTAAATTTGGATAACTGGTAGGGGTGTAAAGATGCATCTATGCATCATGATGAACTGAATATGATGGTGAGATGTAGGATGGCAGAAGATCTCATTAATATTGATAAAGGAAGCCGTGCCTGATGATCTTTGAGCTGCAGTGCCTTTTGTAACCCGCCCTTGTTCTGGTGTGGAGAACACTCACTGACCTTTGCGCTATGATGCTTTTGGGAAACGGCTCTTTTATTGCACAGAAGTTGCTCTTTTTGCTAGCTATGGTCAAGGCTCCAAGGTATCTAACTAGCCAGCTAAGTAAACAGTAAAGCTAGTCTTAAAGATGCGGGATATATTGGTTAACATACCAATATCGGTTAATATTAGTTAAAACTCCAGATTTTGATATCTGTCCAATGTATCAGTCTTGGTCTGTATTGCTGGCAAGTATTTAAGCTTAATCTGTATTCAAAGGTAGCAGCATCAGAGCTAAAGGCCTCCCTACTGAAATAATGGTGATGATTGCATTGGATGATCAGCCATTTTCTGCCATAAAGGATGAGGGATTTTTGTCAGCTTATTCATCACTTAGAAGAGGTCACCAAGGTACGGGCCATGGCATGATTTTTAATTCATTGTTAAATCTGGCCCGCAGATTGATCTTTGATATCGTCATTCCGCTAATCAGAGGTGGCCTGCTTGGCATGGTTAATGAATGCTGTTAGGAGCCTGTTCCCTCATTAGTCCTGCTCAGAGGGTAAGATACCGTTCCTTCTTGTTAACCTCTATGAAGGGTCACATGAAGTTGCCTGAGGGTGACCTTTCTCAGGCCAGGTCTGATTGCCCATTCAGAGGTGGCCGTTTTCCCTCCTTGCCCTTAACCTTCCACTGCCTTGATTGGTCCTTGACTCGAAAATCCTCAGTGCATTAGACGGTTTGTTCTTCAGCAGTTCGCAAAAGGGCTCCATGGGTTTTTGACTCTGCTGAGCTTTTGAAAGTTTTGTCTGGAGTAGAGTTGGTAGCGATGTGGTAGCTTTTTTGCAGAGCTCTTTGGTGAACAGGCATCGATGACTTACTGACTGGGCCCACTTCAGGCTTGTGGTACTGCTGTCAATTCTGACTAGGACTATGCTGCTGAATTATAGGGTACACAACGACAAATGTGGTACGAGTGGATGGTTGTGTGACACATGTCTCCTTGGTGTGGGCGCCCAGTGCCCCGCACTGAAGAGCTGTAATCAGTAGACATGCTTTACCCGCTTCCCATGACTAATCACCATTAGACACTCCTATGTTGTTCAACATTTTTTTCCAGTTTTTTAACATTAGTCCGCCTCTGAAGAGGATCTTTTCTGCTGCTGTTTCGTTCAGCCCCATTTCTGCCCTTGTCTCACATCCTGTGCCCTTTTCCCTTCTATGCCTCGTCAACATGGGTGCGAGGGGGGTTGGGGGGGATCTTTTGTGCCACTATCATGTAGTAGATTCCCAGTCTGTAGGAATGGAAGCTCATAAGCCAGTGGTCAGAGAGTCCTATGGGTCCATCAAAGAGGGCCCTTGCAGTAGCCCGCGATTTTATTTATTTTTGAAAATTGTTTGTTTGTTCAGACAGATGGGTAGAGTGTTTGTGAGCCAGTCAGGCCTAGTGTTCTAAAAAAGAAAGACCAGTACTTCCATTAGACTGGGCTGCTAAAGCAAAGAAACGGCAACTTTTAAAGCTGCACTACTGGAAATATGATAAATCTCTGTCACTGGATCTTTTGACACTGAACAATACGTATTCCAGGAGTATAAACGATTCTCTGAGCATCCAGCATGGTGCTTGGCATCCTGACTCAAGGTCCCCCAGTTAGAAAGCGTGTCTCTCTCCTTTCCTGACGATGTTCTGGTTAGATTTCCACCCCTGGCAGATGATTTGTGTGGGGGATGTAGGACTTTTCTGTCTCCCGTCGGAATGTGTCGACAGGGCAGTGGTGGCTTAATGGTTAGGGAAGCACACTTGTAATTGAAAGATTGCTGGTTCGAGTCCCTGACCAGCAAGGTACCGCCCCCAAGCACTGCTCCCCGGGTTCTGAATTAGCTGCCCCCTGCTATGTCGCGATGTCACATATGGGTTAAATGTAGAGGACTCATTTCGTTATTGTGCACTGTGTGCTGTGGTGTGTCAACCACGATCACTGATCACTAAATTCTAAAATTCCCGAGAAAATGTTTTGAGCACGTAACACTAAACTCGATTATGAACATCCTCTCCCTTCACCTCTGCCTCTGTGCACGTTGAGGTTCGTCTCCTTGGTGAGATATTCCCATTGCAAAAATGGATTGCATGCAGGCTTCGGGGCCACCTGTTATCCGCTCGTGGATAATCACAGGATGCTCTGGGCATGTCTGTCAGCAAGCCGATCGACGTGTTTCCCGAAAGCCCAGCAACCCCCTAAAACCCTCTGTCCTTTTTTGTTTTTTGTCTTTTTCTTAAACCCAAGTTTGTCAAGTTTGCCAACATTGAGGAGGACACGCCTTCCTATCACCGGCGCTATGACTTCTTCGTGTCCCAGTTCAGTGCCATGTGCCATTCCACTCACGAGGACATAGAGACCCGGACCAGGTGGGTGACCATGTTGGTCTGCTTCTGTAGTGAAAGGGTTTCGTTATTGTAATTCATATTCTTACTGTTTTTATATCTTTATTTATCCTTCTTATCCTTATTACTAATGTTGCTTTTACTACTATCAATTAGATTTTATTTCAGCCTTTTCTGTTCAGTTTTCTTGCAGGGGAGTCTCTCTGTAGCATTTCCAGCTAGGATTTGCTGGTGTCTGGGTGTTAGTATTTTAGGGTATAAATTACAGGCGAAGCTGGTCTTGATGTTTCCATGTGCTCAGGCAACGGCTGATGGCCCCCTCTGCTATCGCCGCAGGCCCGGCACTTTCTCGTGCAATTTTTTTTAATTAAGCAAGTAATAAATGCGCAACTGTCTTCGAGGTTGAGAACCGCTCTGTAGATCTATCTCAGTGATTTATGCCCTGAAAATTCTTGTCGTCTGACACGTCACCGGGGAAAACCTACAATACAGCCGTGGGCGGTGATTTATTCGCAAAGAAGGGGATTTGTTAGTGACTGTCAACTGTATCCCTGCCGGCCAATAGCATTGATCAAAACGACGACGGATGGCAGTGGATTCTGGGACGCCGTCACGCCGAGATGCCTTCCCTGTGCCTTAATTACAGATTACGGTCGATAGGTAACCGAGCAATTACAGCTAAGAAGAGGCCTCACCAAAAGGAGTTTTACCAAGACGTTTAATTAAATTTAAGGCCCCCGAAACTTCCCGCGGCCTACCAGAATAATGTGTCTCCTTCTGGGGTTATTTTATTGTTTTCCTCCTCCGGTTCAGCCTCTGGTTTTGATACGCAACACAGTGTTTATCAATTTGTTCCCCTGGGGTCCCCAGACGGTCCCTGTTTTTGCTCCTTCCCAGTTCCCAGTAGAGTAGAAACATGGTCTTTGAGGGCAGGTCTGAGAAACGATTGCATAAGGGAGCAGAACGTGATGCTCATCACTTCTGAGCCAAATATACCCAGCGGCGTGCCATGGATGAAGCGTGTGGGGAAGGGCTGCCCTTCAGCCTCCTACTTCCATGTTTAGGCCTCAAGCAACCTACTAGGCACCGATCAGGTTCCCGGGGAACGGAGTATCACGTGCAGTTACTCTCTCACTCCCCCTAGAGGACAGGTGACCCATTGCATCATGGGTCTTCCAAAATTCATTACAAGTTGTGGCATGTCAAACCCGTGACAGCAGCTGACCCTCCAAATCTCCAAGCCTTCTTTTTTTTTTTTTTTTTTGACTTAATAACCTACCTAATAAAGAAGGGGTGGCAGGTGATTGTGGGGGAGGGGGCCTCAATATTACGGCTAAAAATGGAGATGTCTGTCCGGCAGGGCTGAAGGAGAGCTGGCATCAAGAGGCCTGGACCTTCTCCCCCCGAAATCGATGTAGCAGGTGATGTCGATGCTGTACGTATGAGGTCATGCCTCGCACGTGCTCACACTGAGTGGTCCCGCCCACAGGATCCGCGTGGCAGGCATCCGCGGCCTGCAGGGCGTAGTGAGGAAGACTGTGAACGACGAGCTGCAGGCCATCATCTGGGAGCCGCAGCACATGGACAAGCTCATCCCCTCCATGCTGTTCAACATGCAGGAGGCCGACGAGTTCGACAGGTGAGCCGCACACCAGCAAAACGGCATTAATATTAATATTTACATTTTTATTCTCTATGTTGATGTCATTATCTGCTGGCCAAGTACTGCAGTTTTTCGTGGCATGACTGAGTTTTATAACTTTGTTGGTCCTAAAAGGTTTTGTGTCCCATCTAAAACCATTACGTTTGGGTTCGTAGTGCCCTTCACTCTGCCCCCCCCCCCCCCGCAATGAGTGATCCAAGCATTTTCCGATGTGACTCAGACTAGATCCTGGCCCAGGGCTGATGCCAGCGTGTGTCTGCCGCCTCGCGGCGCGCGTCCGCGATGTCCCCTACACACGCCCGCCCCTAGGGGGAGCTGGCGTGGGCCTCGGTCCAGCAGCCTGAGGGTAGCGCCGGCCGCTTATCCCTCTCCTCTGATACTCCTGCTGTTCCCAGCCCTTCATCCCAGTCCTAACCAGCCGCCGGCTTCATTTCCACAAACCCCGGAGGTTATGAATCACCTCGCTCTCCCAGTCACGCCGGGCCGTGCCCCGGCCTCGCTGTGTGCCATCTTACCGCTGTGTTCGCTCCACTCCTCCTCCTCTTCCTCCACCAGTCTCCTTGCTCTAAAGCAATTCATAAGACTAGGGCTAGAAGCTTAATCTCGCCATTTTTATGTGAGCATCGTCAAAGGTAAATATCACCTGGAGAATGGTTCTCTCTTCCTCTTTCCGGTTCTGATCTATTTCTGTCTCTCCTTTTCAGTTTTCTTTGTGTCTTCCCTCTTCCTGCTGGTGTTCTCTTTAATCTCTCCCTCCCTCCCTCCCTCGTCTGTTCATCAATTCACGTTTTGACTCCAGTCAGTAAATTAAGCCTATTGTCTGCCTTCACGTTGACGTCAATTTGCACTACTGCTAAAATCGAAGGCTTGTCCTCAAAATGGCGCCGCGTGCCCTTTATGAAACGGGCCGCTCCTGAGGAGGCCTGCTAGCAGGGGAGGTACTGCTGGGAGCTGCTGCTTCTGAAACCTTCAGTAATCTGTGGGCTTTACCGTCGCGGGGGGGAGCTTTAACACAGCCCAGGCTGGGGAGTAGATCCAGCTGGGAAGGTAATGTGGTCTGTGGGAAGGAGATCGGGACCCGTGGTGATGAGAGCCCCCAGGACGTCGCCGCCGAGGACCTTCTAACGGTTGCCCGGGGCGACGCTCGTGTGGTATTTTTCTGCCTGCCTGGGAAAGAGCGCGCCGTTCCCATGATCCCGGAGCGAGCAGACTGTCTCTTCCTGGTCATAACCCTGGAAATGTGTCGCTGCATCCACTCTGGGGGTGTGAAATGATATCTCAGAAATGCAGCAGCCTTTGTTTTTTTCGTGAATGTTCAGGAGCCCGAGCTGAGGCGATCTCCCTGTCACTCCAAAATGCCCCCCCAAAGCATCTCATGTTAATGGGTCTCACTTCAGTAGGCTTTCTGTCAGCTAAACTGCTGTTTTTAGCAGTTAGCATAGAGCCCAAAATTAGGGCGGGGCTGGCCTGGCCTGGCGCTGCAGCTGTGGCGTCCTGATTGGCCAATCGCCGGCCCCGAGCACATTCGTCTGGTTGTGGGCATTTCCTCGGGACCAAGGCACCTGTGCCGCGCTGAGGCGTGCGAGCTGCTGCGGGTGCAGCATCGGTGTGACTGCCTTTGGGATCATGCACTCACCTGCTGTATAATTATAGCACACAGCTGTAAACAGTCAGCATCCTCTAAGCATCCACGGGGCCCCCAGGTGGGACGGCCAGACGGCACGGCCGAGCCACGGAGGACATCTCTGACACGTCCGAGAGGCTTGCTGCTCCCCCACCCACCTCCGGAGCAGAAACCGAAAATGGTTCTGCTTATTTCCTGTGAGGTGGGGGAAAGGTGGGCTTCGCCCTGGGTTATGAGGCACCCCCCCTGCACGGTGCCCTTCAGTGAGCCTGTCTTTATTATCTGTCGACTCCACCCCCCGCCCTCACTCGTAAGCTCGGCGGCGATGAAGGGGTTAACCGAAGGGAGTCGCTTTGATGAGACGGTGCCTGTCAGAGCAGGAATGGGCTCTAAGGAAATTTGTAACCAGATCCTACAGAAATCCTCAACACATGTGAGGATGGAGGCCGTTTCTCTGTCTCACTGCATTCTAACCGGCTTCAGCCTGGCAGATGTTTGTTCAGCACTGCCGAGTGCCGACAGTGAAATCCAGTTTTTAACTGTAATTGAAAATAGTCTCTCCATGTGTAAGATTCCTCTCAGGAAGACGTGTTAGGGACTCGGTTCCACTGTTTGCTTCCGTTGGGTCTGTACGTGACTCGACTGCGAATGGGAGTCGGGCTTTAGTCCGACCCGCGTCCCCTGCCTGCTGCCTGTCCTGGATTCTGCAGCTGGGATCATATTAATGCTTCACTGGCAGGTGTGAAAGCACGGCTGCTTTCGGAGGAATGAACAGTGCAGTGGTAGTACTTGCGTTTCACCTTCTTTAACATAACTGGAATCATTTCAGTTGTCCTATTCCGCGCTTTTTAAATTTTTTAATTGAATTATCGTATGGGCCAAATTTACGACGTTTACATTGTTGGTTTTTTTTTTGGGCAGGAATTGAAAAAGCCTTGTGGTAAATGGCTACTCTCTCAGTAAACGTCCGATGGTAGAATAATCTTTTGACCATAAATTTTTGGTGTGGGGTGGCGAGTAGGAACTGGGGCTCCGGAATTGGTCAGCTAGGGGCGCTGATGATTTTCAGGTTCGTGTGTGTGTGTGTGTGTGTGTGTGTGTGTTGCATTGTCCTCGATCCCCACGACCCTGATGGATGTATACAAACCATTTTTACTGATTCGAAAGCTCTGTGTAAGATCGCTAATCACCATGTCTGAGTCTTTATTGCAGTCATAAATTAGCTTTTATTATGCATTGTTTTGAGTTATAAATCCATCGTTTCCAAACCCTGGCATGCAATTTATATTGTATCACGTGATCCAGTGACCTCAGTAACCGCAGTCATTATAGATCGACTTTAATCTCTAAGAATAAAGCGTAAATGTGAAGGTTGCCTGGGCGTTATTGCACTGCAGAGCACAGGCTGGAATACTTGATTAGAACATGGTTCTTGAAAAGCTCCCTCACTGCACCCGGGAGTAGGAAAATGCCCCCGGAACACTTTGGTCAAGGGCATTCGATCCTGTTAATTGCTTCTCGTGAAACAACGTGACCAGAATCTGAGAAGCATGTGTTAATGGTGCCCGGCCCGGTATTGCAGGGTCTCAGTCTGCGGGTGGGTAATCGGCGTGCCCATCGCGAGTCTCGCTGGCTTTAGCAAGATCCTACCAGCCCCTGCTTCGGCTAGTGACAGTGTCGCCTTATGGCCTGGTCATGTGACAAGTGCCTGTCAGGCTTCACCGTGGTAACAGACCTACGACCTGCCAGCTGCCGCACCTGCGTGGGAGCAGAGTATTCGCTCATGCAGGTATGAGTCCCTGTGTGAATCCTGTCCATTTACTTGGCATTGTTATCCATGCGGTGTCCCAAAATGCACCTGTGGAAACGTCCTAGAGCAGGGGTGGCCAATCTTATCCACAAAGGGCCGGTGTGTATGCGGGTTTTCGGTGCAACTGCCTAATTAGGTCACTAATAAGAGAACTGTTTGGCTGAAGAGTCCTCACACCTGGGTTTGATCAGCTGACCTACAGGTTATTCCAAAAACCTGCATACACACCGGCCCTTTGCGGGTAAGATTGCCCACCCTTGTCCTAGAGCAGGAGTGTCAAACTCCACTCCTGGGGGGCCGGAGCCCTGCACATTTTTGGGTTTCCCTTCATTTAACACACCTGATTCAACTCCTTGTACTAATTACCACACAGCTCTTGAGCTGAATCATTTGTGATGGAAGAGGGATAGACTTAAGCTACATGGAGCTCTGCCCCCCTCCCCCCCCCAGGACTGGAGTTTGGCACCCCTGACCTAGAGGTATGAAAAGCAGTCTGAGGTACAGTAGACGTGCAGCCAATAGGCTTCTCCGGAGAGGTAGCTTTGGTGTAACCATTACAGTGTCAGTGAGGTACAGTAGACGTGCAGCCAATAGGCTTCTCCGGAGACGTAGCTTTGGTGTAAGCATTACAGCGTCTGTGTGGTATTTTTTTTCATTGATGTAGAGATGTATTAGTGTCTATAGGCATCATAAACTGAAAGTACTTCCCTAGTTCTCCGAAAAGGTTAAACGTAGCTTTTTTTTTTTATATTTTAATTTGCATGAATTTACATTATGCATTAATATGAGTTCATCATGAGAATTATCACATTGGCTGAGGTTTTTGGATTTGGTTATAGATGCAAGGAAACATCAGAATTAGCAAAATAATCTTAATGAGCTCTCCGACTGGGAACGCACCCAGCAATTAATTTAAATAATGATGATATCCAGAGTTAGGGCCAGTCAGTTTAAAAAGGCTGTGGGAAAAAAATAATACTGGCTTGTTAGTTGGAGGTTGGCAGGGTGACCACACGACTGACCTCTGTGCTCCGGCTTGCTGCCAATTTGGATTTCCGTTCTTTTCAGTTTATTCAATGGGCCAAGTGCAGCCGCTCGTTCTGTGAACAGGAAACTCCAGCAAATCCCCCAAATAAAGTCTTACTCCCAGGGATGATATGAGGTTCAGCTCAGCCTCCACCGGCGAGGTTTCCGAATGGCCTTTAACCCAGGCCAAGGAAAGTGCGACGCTTTTTTTCTTTCGGTCCCTGTCGTGGTGTCGCACCCTCGGATGGCCTCCGACGTGTCCCGTTTACCGGCAGGAAGCGAAATGTCACGGATTTTGTAATAGTGGCGGTCAAGATAAGACGAGCGCAAGTGGTACAGAAGTGAGCGACGTTCCGGTCAAGCTCTTAATCTCTGTGACATTTACTGCATGTGCTGAAATGTTACAAAAAAAAAAAAAAAAAACCCAAATTAAATGTGTGACGCTTTTCTGGAACTGGTTTCTCACACCCAGAGTGCTTTGCTGGTGTTTTTTGGGAGCCTGAGCATTTAACCTCGGCCTCCGCCCAAAGCAAAGCACGGACCTTTTGAGGTTCCGCAGCCGTCTCTTCCCCCATCAGACCAGTTGCCGCACATTGGATTTCTAGCTGGGGAGGAAATTAATCATGTGGTCCATTAGTAGACTAGGGAACGTGGCCTTGATGTTCTGATAGGGACTGAATGGGCATTTGGCCGCTGGCCCTGCGTAAATTTGTCAGCGCTGTGCGATGTTTATCAGCCCTGCCAGGACAGAATCCGTCCCAGAGCTCCCCCTGCTGTTTGGACTCCTACTGCACGGGGGTATTAAACCTGTGTATTATCATCGACTGGCAGAAATGCATGAGCGGCCACAGGCACAAGTAGGGATAGACAAGGTGAGTAACAAAGTAGGCGACAAAGTACATGGAGGGTTTTTTTTTTCAGATTTTTGACAAACGGTGTAATTCTGGAGCAATGTGTGGGCTCGGTAAACTCGGTGAAATTGAATTTTGCTCTCACAGGAGCCGCTGCCCACTAACCATCTGTGAGGAAACGATTTATCACGGTGGTTATTTTTGGGCCGAGCCGCCTCGCTCGCCGCCGGCCCGACGCGGCCAGCTGTGACCCTCCGCACTCGCGGGTCACGGACCCTAAGCGAGGAGCCTGTTGACATTGCCGATGATACTGCTGATTTTTTTTTTTTCTTTGATAAAAACACTGACTACAAAGAGTGTCACGGAGGGTTGGGGGGGCTCCCCCATTTGGGTCCCGGGGTGCGTGCGTGATCGCTTTAAGCGGCCCATTCGAGGAGGACACATGGTACGCTTTTAACTCTGGAAGCGAACAGTCTCCCATCTCTGACCATGCATTTCCTATAACGACCGTAAAATTACTGCAGAACGGGCCGGACGGGCAGAACAGGCAGGTGCCTACTGCCCCCTAATTGCACCTGGGATGTGGAGGAAGTGATCGTCACTTTTCTTGGTGTGGGGGCTTTGCCGGGAGCCCCAGTGAAGGTCGAGTCAGCCCGGGTCTTCTGTCAGGGAAGGTGGACCATGGATGCCCAGGCAGATACCAGGGGATCTCTGTTGAGCAGACGTCCATTTTGATGTTCTCTCTCTCCCCCCCCTTAACCTCTCTCTTCACCTCCCCTGCAGGACGGGCCACCCAAGCTCCCCAGCAGGCACGGAGCGTGAGGAGAACCCGGCGGTGCTGGCGGAGAGCTGCTTCAGGGAGCTACTGGGGAGGGCAGCCTACGGCAACATGAACAACGCCGTGCGGCCTGTGCTTGTGTGAGTGCGCAGCCGCCGGGCCTGCTGGGTAACGCGCGCCACCGCCGCCGGGCCTGCTGGGTAACGCACACAACTTCCTCTGGACCTCTGGGAATGTCTGCATGGTTCGTTCCGAAGTGATGCGCACCTCTGTAAAGACCCCTCCGCTGAGATGGCCGCTGTGGGCGTGGCCTTGCCCCTCTCTGATAGGCCGATATGCCTCGTCTCCTGTGAAACATCGTATACCCAAGACGCTCATTCCCACAGCTGGCATGCCAGCCATTTTCCCGGTGGGTCCATGGGAGCGTCATCGTGCCCCCCCCCCCCCCGTCAGCAAAATGCATCTGTGGACCCCCCCAAAGTCCAGGGGCCAGTTTTAATCAGTCCAATCCTGACGACCAGTAACAAAAAGCCCCTTCGTCATCACTATGCATCACCCAGACTTCTGGTAAAATGCTCTACATAGTTATGAAAGTAATTAAACCTTCTCTGTTAAAATTAGAACATTTATTTATATATATATATATATATATATAAAATATAAATACACTAGTTATATAATCATCGTGCTGCATTCATCACTCTAACTTCATGAGGCCTGGGATTATGATATTGGTAAAAATGTTATTGAGCTGTTAAACATTTAAGACCCCCCATACTGACGGGGGGGGCTTACAGCTGTATTTATACCATTACTCACTGCCACAGAAGTGCCAGGGCTTCCACGGAGGTTGAAATTCCGTCGGCTGCTCTGGAGATTTAATTAAATCTCTTTTTTTGTTTGTCTTTTGGGCTTTGTTTATTTTTGATGGATGAAAGGCCAGTGGGTCACATGGCAGGTACTCTAACCCTAACCCCTAATCAGGTGCCTATTGTAGTCACCGTGGGTGTCGAGTGGCACTCTGATTCATTACCTTTTTCATGGGCTCTTGTCTCCAGTCAGCCAGATAGACCAGATTGTCCCCAGTTATGTCTCTTTAACCTGGGGTTCTTTATGGGCGTGCCCCTGTTTTAAAGGCACGGCGACGCAAATCTCTGCACCCATTCTGACGTCACCATGGCGATGGTTTTACCCAAGGTTCCGTCGTTGCTATGCAGTGCGAATCACAGTACGATTGCCTGGTTTTATGATGCTCCTTTTAGGGA